TATTGCTTATCAAACCTGTTTATTTTCTTGTCAGCGGAGCTTTTTAAGACTCAATGTAACGCTTCGGGCCGCAAGCTCGTGCTCAGGTCTACAAAAACAATTTACTGGATTTTGTGCGTAATTATCGGTATCAGCTGATTCATACAAGAGAACGTGGGGAACCATAATGTCAACTGCCAGCTATTAGGGAAAATGCTTCAATCTGGGAAGTAAGTCATTCCCAGGAGTCTAAGAGTCGCTGCAAATCACGCTTTCGTTCGCTCTAAGTTGTGCACCTCGTATCATCTGAATAGTGATCCATTTACAGGACGAGCAGGAGAACTTCAATGAGGAATCCATTCGAAAGGCGCATAGGTCAGACGATTTGAGTGAAAAGGACTGGTTGCTTATATACAGAGATAAAGGTAAGGTTAAGACTATTTGTAGTTCTAAGTTGGCCGAATATTTGATGTCTTCCACACTTTATTTTTTCCTGTGTCTGCCGAAAAATAGCAGTGTGTGGGTAGTAAGCGCTAGATTCAGAAACTTCTCTACATGTTTCACAACGCAAAGTATGGACATCTGTCAGAGCGCCATACCATCGCTTCCTCCAGCGCCTTGTTCTACGTTCACCAATCAGTCATTTGCTGCTTCTAAAGTGGTTGAGAGCTGCAATCCTAGTCGTCTGCGTTTTCTTTTAAGGCTGGGGAAAGAAGGGCTTAGTTGGTAGAAGGCGCTGACGAGCATCATCGAGATCTTCGCATCTTGCCCCTCTCTACCGTTGCCCCCCCCGTGTTTTCTCAAGTAAATCGCAATGATTTTATCACTGTTGCTACTTCCCTGACCGAGTTTTCACCATTGTTTCAATAATTCATAGAAGTCATTAGTCTCAATTCTTAGCCACCGCTATTATTTTGACCCGTATTGCTGCCATATACATACTCATACTCAAGTAGAAAATTCACCGTGTCTCAACTAGTGGAACTTGAGAGTTCATTAAGCCATTCTATGAAAAGAGACAGAATTTTTTTATACAGGAGATTCTGGGCTGTTTTGTTTAACAGATGACTGTTCGCCTTGCCCTCATAATAAACTGTGACTCTTGCAATATCCTGTGGTTTTTCTGGATTGCTTTTATATACGTGGGTATCAGGTTTCGTGATTGCACGAAAACGTCTATTTATATAAAGGGATTGGTTGTTGCAAATATCACACCAAATATTTCGTTTCTCGATTTTTGAGCCAGCATATCCCACATTTCATCTGTTGATTCGGATGCAAGGCTCTTTTGACTAGTTTTGCAGCTCAACTTCACACTCTCACAAGCTTGAGCCATCAACGGAAAGACCTGAAGAGTTTTTCGATCGAATTTCTTGAATTGGGTAGTTTTTTGAACAAATTTCTTGCAAAGGATTGTTCTTAAGTAAAAAATAGGCGTCAAAAATAGTACTAGCTCCATTGACTTCACACTGCTCTTTGCCCAAAACTTCTTGTAAAAAACTCCAAGGACTCAAGCTCTCGCGAGTCCTCTCAATTATTTCGGTGCCAAAGGCTTGCCCCATGTTCGGAATGGTCAGTTGTGGAGCTCAACTAGTAATGACAAGATGGTAAGTAACACAAAAGTAAAGAAAGAAATCCTAAAAATTCATATATAATGCCCCATATAGATCCAGTGCTAATCGCCATTGTATGTGCATGAAGCGAAGGAAAGGAGGGTCGGACGAGTTCTCATTATTGGGAACACCTCTTTCTCCTCGTCACCTCACACTCACCATTTGAAATGGAGAGAACCAGGCCTGGAACAGTAGCACCACCAGTATATACCCAATGAAAGTAAGGCCGCCGCGGCCAATGAGCGTCGCTGTGGTCGCGCTGCGAGTGGGTCGCGCATTCCTCAGAATTTTTGAGCTACACATGTAGTGTATCCTCTGCAGGCAGGATTATCATGTCCAGGGAAGACGCCTGAACATCAAATGAAGGTGTGCCCTCAAGTACCTTACTCACAGTCAGTACAATACTCTTCATTGCACAGTTGTGCGGTGTCTGCCCCGAGCAAGGGGCATTTTGCCGTGCACTGAGAGCGCTGGACAAATCAGCAAACGAACAGAATGTCCCCTTGAGGGGTACAGCACTCACGCCCATAATTGTGCAAGGTTGCTATTAAGCGGCCCGATTACCATACACGATGGGTCTAAGTCCGGACAGGCTCCAGCCCAGGCCAACCAGCCATCTGCTTTATTTCAAAAACAACATCATCAAGAAGGAAACGACTTTGTTCCTTTTTTTTTTGGGGTGGCTTATCATAAAAGAATACATCATCATGACTGTTATCACAAGAATGCTGAATTATGGGCAAAAGTCGTACCCCAGGCGGGAGTCGAACCTGGACCTCACGCTTTCAGGGCGAGTGCCTATCTTTTACTCACACGGGCCGCTTTATAACCTTCAAGCTTAACAGCTTATGCCGTAGCCTTACAGCACTCACATGTTTAACCTGGTGAAACGGCCCTGGTGGCGTAACGGATAGCGCACTCGCCCGGAAAGCGTGAGGTGCGGGTTCGACTCCCGCCTGGGGCACGACTTTTGCCCATAACTCAGCATTCTTGTGATAACATTCGGAACGCGAACTGCGGCGTTAAACAGCAGTATCATAACAAAACAGCTTCATTATCATGACTGTTTGGTAGAGTATCTGCGTCGATTCGACTGTTTTAGGCGCTTCACAGTCGTTTATTCTCGTTGGCATTGCATTTCCTGTAATAATTGGAACCCTTTGTGTCATTGGATACGACATATACACAAATGAGCAGCGAGATCGGTTTGATTTCGTGCAGCGACTTCTTCGCGATGTAGAGGAGGTAATTTTTGTTCCATTACAACGTGTGAACAGTATCTGTTTTTGAATTCCAAATGCTATATTTTGAATGTATCAGATAGGCCTCTTTGCCATTGTGCCTGGATTCGCGGCCGTATTAGTGGTTCTCACGGTGATTCGGATGCAGCAGTTACGAATCATGAGAATCTATCAAAACAGGAAGAGCATTGATGATTATTTGGCGATTGGTTCAAGAAGTGTTCTTCTAAAACATCGGGTTTGCCTATGTTTATTCCGTCTTACTAGGAAAGTACGCTAAGGCAAGGCAGCCAATTAGGAGTTTATAGTTCGCGGCTAGAGCGAATGAATCGTGCAATTTGAGATTTTAGCAATTGTGACCTCTAGTGCTACTCGTCCGACTGTTGCAGTGTTCGAATGAAGTCCCTATCTTAAATGTATTTCAACCAGCGCTGCAACGATTAGCGTGAAGCGCGATCGGTCATAGCAGCTCAAGTCCTGGTCAACCACTCTTCCGGCCGAGGTCAGCTAGTGGGTGCGCGAATTCTGGGAGGACGAATTTGCTGGCTTGTAAATTGCTTCGCCTCTACAATTCATTGTATGCGCTAAACCTCATTCAAAATGGTGCTACCGTTCCAGGCAGATAGAATGCATGGTATATCCCATTTGGGGATTGGCTAGCGCCGAAGCTTCATCCTTCAATTTTAGTTGTTGAAGGGGAAAGGGAAATGTATTGTGATAACAGGATGTTGTAGTGGAGTAGAAGTCCTCGAAGGCTGTATAAGGGAGTAACGGAATATTCGAGGCGGCGGTGGTGTAGTGACAAATGGCGCGCTTACCACTCGCGCGATCCTGGGTTCAAATCCCGGGTTGACTCCCGCCCAGGCCAACCAAACCTTCTGTCCTCCGGGGACGGTAAATTAGTACCATATTCGTTTGGGAGGATAAGTACACTGAGCTCGAGCCTATTAAAACTGACTTTAACATCTGATTGTCTGATTGTAACGAAATCATTAGAACGAGAATTACATAGCCCAAACTACTTCATTCGTTGATTCATGTGCCTTGTGCGTTAAATTCACGCCTCGCATTTACTCGAAGTTCAAGTGCCTTCTTTATGAATAGTAGTCCTGCCTGCAAGAATTTGAGGATGTACTACTTTTTCACAGCGCGCTTGAGACTATCCATGGCCGCCCGCTGACCACGGTGACGCCCACCGTTCACTTTCAAATGCTACTTGATGGTGCGCTTTTATTGGATCGTGAAATGCTCCCGACGGTGTCTACCTAATCACGCGATAGAGCACAAACACGCCAGCGCGGTGTGACATGACACGATACCATATCTTGATATTATTTTGGGATGGCCGTTTGTCTGAGATCTCTGATAGTTACTCCTCTTTCTCTTCCTCCTTCTTCCCACCGCCTGCAGGTGCAGCAGCAGCAGCAGCGCCACCAGCGGCAGGAGCGGCGTCTGCTTTCTTCTTACCACCGCATTGTATCAACACCACCAAACCAACAAGTAACAGATGAACCATGGTGATGAAGAGATTCGAGGATATCGGGGCATCCATGGCGAGTGGTTGTGGCCGGTGAAGTTAGCAAAAAAGTTATAGCTGCTATAGTGTAGTTCCGCTGCGGACGATTGGGCGTGTCAGGCAGCATAAGTTTTTTCTCTTGCCTTCTTGTTGAATGCGCATGCGACAAAAAGTGGTAGAAAACGAGTAATACGAACAATATGATACAGTCATATCAGTTGCTCGCTTTAACAACTGGTAGGAGAACGGGTTCGGCACCGCGCCAAACTCATCCTGCTTGACACGCCCAAGCGTCCGCAGCGAACTACACTATACTCCGTTCGATTAGCGAAAGTGAGGTGATAAGGAGAAAGAGCTGGCACCAGCAAGTGGGATCTCGCCCGATCACGTCCATTGCTCGTCTTATGCACGTGCAAGCGCGGCTCAGCATGGGGGTTTATATGGGGCACTTCGTGCTGGTTTTTCTACTTTTTTTCTTCATTTTGTGTTAATTTGCCATCTTATACTAGTTGCCGCACAACTCAGCATTTTTGAATTCGTGGCGTGCCTTTAAAGACACTTCCCGTGATCAAGTGGTCCGCGAAGTGCCTCTGGGCATTTGGCATCGTTGTCCGCATTCGCAGAGAATATACCACTTTCGTCACTCGAAACGGCGAGATAAAGAAGCTAGAGACGCGTGATTATTGCAACCATTGCAACCACGATTACTTTCACTCTGCAAGACAACGGCTTACAAGCGGAATTGCGTGTGTACATAGCGTTGCCTGGAGCGTCGTAGGCGATTTCGAAAGCTCTTGCCGGGAATCGGTTGCACGTAGACTGCTGCTGATTGGGCTTGTTCTAGGCGCTATCTTCACCACTGATCGAGGTCTTTGTTCTGTTTTGAAGAGTTTTTCTCTCCGCTTTCTGCTAGGGGGTACTTATGGGCTACTAATTCATGACATGGACAACTACCTCCCATAACACTTGATCGCTGAATTGTCTTCAAGCTGCGCTTTGCGTTGCTGCTCGCTGGATAATTACGGTTCTCATCGATAAACTCAGCATGTTGATATTATTAGTGAATATACTTGTGTGTCTGTTTTAGATAAACTTCAATCGAGATAGCGCATCTGCCTGCTATTTTGCAGAGGAGAAAAAAGACTTGTCAAGGCTGCTTACTCAGGTTCTTATTGGCAATATGCAGGTGTGTTCATTTAGCAACCTCTTCAGCTTCTTTATCCTTAACTGCCCCAGTCTTCCGAACTCAGGCTAGTTTTTCACCGACTTCTTTCCACGTGGGCATATTCGTCTGAAATTTTCTCTCTAGGGATAATCTGACCTCGTGGGAATAAATAGCAAATCTGACTGGCCCGAAACGCCTGGCGTCCGCGCCACAAGCGCCAGTGTCAAAATATGCCGGCACCAAATTCGGTGAAATCTTCTTCATAGGGTGTGGTGTTGCTCGACCTCATGAAGACAAAGATCGCATTTGTTGCCACGGAATCGCTGGCCTCTCGAGTTAGAAGCAACGGCACCTTATGCTTGTTTTGACCCCGCTTACGTAGCGCGGACTCCTGGCTGTTTCGTGCCAAGCGGAGATAGAACATTTGGAGAAACACGGCCAGACAAGACAGTACACTTTTCTGCTTGTGCTAAGATCAGTTAATGGAGGAGGGGACCACTTTCTTGGGGAAAGGATGCAGAAAAGCGTAGCAGGTTGCTTTGTCACTTATACACCCTGCTCTCACTCCTTAACTCTATTAGCGACCACATGCAAACGTAATATTCGGGCTCAGGAGATCAAGCTACCCCTGCGGACATGTTTAGAGAATTTGGTGGTTTATTGTATTTTGACGAGGGTACCTGTGACACGGATTCCAGGCAGTTACGGTCCAAGCGGATGTGATATTAGTGTTTAGGAGGTCATTCTATCAGAAATAAACAGCCAAATCTACCCTAGTAGGATGGAAGTCGGTAGAAAATTGGCTAGATTGTGGAAGATTGGGGCAGTAAAGGCTGAATAGAGCTACTTTTTTGTGCAGTATGCAATGGTTTGGAGAGTCATTGTCATGACTCATGGCGCTACCTACCTTTCGTTCTGTACTTTTGAGCCAGACCTGTCTTACAGCATTCCTTCTCCGCAGTATTCAATAATTTTTGTCAGAATGCATTTTATGTCTTCTCCATGTGAAGCGAATCTCTGATGAAAGTTGCAAATAAGGTTGAACCAGCATGAAGTTTCTATTCGTATTCGAAATATTTTGCTGAATTGACAGAGTTGAATGTTGTTGCCCAGTGGCCAGACGGAAGAGCTTGCCTTTCTGAATGCTAATTGTGATGGTTTTTATTTCATTGATTTCTATCCTTTTTGCAATCCAGTGCATTCTTTCGAATATGTCTTAGACATATTGCTGGGCGATACAGCGTCATATTGCAATGAGTTACATTTGCTCGTCCAACGGCTTTGTCACTACTCTTCCTACCAGGCCGTTCGTTTTTCTTTTCCGGTCGAATTTGTCTGAGAGTGCAAAACTTTTATTTTGAATACTAAGTGACAGACGGCCGCCCAACATTCCCTTTCCACATTCTTCTCTAGATTGTATTGAATTCAGAATGTTTCTTCTATTTTTAGCGTCGTACTTATGCAAGTTATTATTAGGGTGTCCGCAAAGTTTTGAGAAACAACCAGCTCATTTGAACTTATCAACAACAGTAAGAGATAGTAGTTCATAGTTATAATAAATATTGTCCATCCTATGTCCCTTACCTTCTGAGCGGGATTACCTTGCGTGGGAGCTAGCTAGCGAAAATTAAGCGAGTACTGAGAATAAGGGGCGTACGCAACATCTAAGCTAAACTTCCATGGGAAGAGACCGATTGATCTCCTAGTATAGATGATTTTGAAGCGCATTTTATCCAGCATCGGAGGCGGTTCCTCATTCCCGATTTGACCGATAGAGGAGCCAGAACGGTGAAGATGAAGTAAAAGGCGTTGGGAGTCGTGCGCGCTCGTACATTTTTCAGGTAATGTCAAATCATACCAACAATGGAGAATAATAACAACCAGCATTAGTATTGATCTACAAACATTTCTCTTTCTCATAGCACTTGATATATGACTTTCTGTTGGGGCATTCGCTTGCTACACTTCTTCAAACTAAAAGTGTGAATTTTCTCAGGCGTATTTCATTTCTGCCGGTTGGCAGTGTGAAAAAACTTCATTTAAAGACAGTTAGGCCCAGTAGTCATGATTCATTTTCAGTTTTCTTCCCTTCCAAGCACCGGATGCTCCACTGCTGAATGTCGTCAATGCTTTGTGTTTGGCGCTCAAGTGTACTTAGTAGTACAAGAGTCCATTTTGTTGGGAGACGTCTTCACTTTTAAGACCAGTGCCAGCGCCGCCAGATTTCAGCCCTGCTGAGCATATAATAGTTTGGATAAGCGCGTTTCTTCCATTTTAGGTGTGTAGGTGTATAGGTGTTACTTAAAAGGATTAATTCTTCCATCTTGGTCACCTCTGTGACTGGCTCCAGCAAGTCATTGGAGGGGACACTCTACTACGGCTACGAAGGAATTCGATTTTTAGCACCGACTTCTTTATCCCTGTGATTTTTGAACTTGTTTTACACTTTTAGAAGACTTCTGTTAAATGATTGTTCGGCTAATTCTGACTTTATGATCAATATGTTTCAGATAGAGAGGCGACGATTTCTGATTTCTGATGACTCGTTTCGTGGTAATAATTATCGCACCTATATGTTGAATGAGACGAGTATACCCCC